TTTTTTTTTTGTTGATTTTCTGGCTGTTCGAGTTGATTTGTCACTGATTTTGTTTCAGAAGATATGTTATAGCAAAATTACGGTTTATGTTCACAGTTCCTAGACACAAGTAAAAGATTAATGGGAAAAATCAAGTAAATTTGTCGCAGCGAAGCTTCAAATTTAGTTTCTGTTTGTTTTTATTTCCCCATGTTTTTTCTATGGAATTAATAAGTTCCATGGGTTAATATGAATTTGGTTGTTCTCTTTGTACCTCTGTTGCAGATTAGTTTAATTGTGTGATTTTGGTGGATCCCCCTTTTCGGGTTGTTTGAATTTGGGGGTATCATGCAAACACCTCCTTCATGCAAGAAATCGAGAACCCCCCGTCCAAGAAAGCATAATGCCGATCGGTTGAGTGTGTTGCCGGACGATATCCTGCAACGCGTGTTTTCCTTTCTCGATTTCCTTGACGTTGTCCGCACAAGCGTGCTCTCCAAACGATGGAAGTCCATCTGGAAATCGGTGCCTTGCCTAAACTTCGACATGGACTGGCATTTGAAGCACCTCGACGTCAATTTGGACAAACGCAGTGACCCGTATGGAAAATTCTGGGATTTCGTCAAGTCCTCTTTGCTCCTGCGGGACAACTCGACAATCAACAAGATACAACTCAGCTGTAGCAACACCGTGATCCAGCAGCTGAATCTGCTGATCTGTGTGGCCGGGAGAGAAAAAGTTCCAGAGCTCATCCTTCTCGGCGGGGATTACTCGTCTGACGAGCTCGAGTTCCCACGCGGGGCTTGCGAATCATTGACATTTCTAAAACTGCATTTCCTACATACTATTACTTTGCGCGCTGTAGCCGTTTTCAGTAGCATCGTGAGTCTTTCAATGAGGGGAGTTTGCATAACTTGTGATGCTGCCCAAAAGTTGTTCTCAGGTGGATGTGTTAAGCTCGAGGAGGTGTACCTTGAGGATTGCCAGATAAAGGATGTAGAGGAGATTGATATATCAGCTGCTAACCTCAAGAGTGTGACAATTGTGAACGTTTGCACTTGCAAGGAATTTTCGGTCGTGGGTTCTTTCGATTGTAAGCTTAGAATTTCATCTCCAAGCTTGGTGTCCTTCTGCTACATAGGGCCGATGTTACTAGGTGTTTCATTGGTGGTTACAGAGTGTTTGGAGAACATCACGATCCGCCTTCTTCTACGTGTGCCTAAGGAGTACAACATTAGCTTTGAGAACCACTTGCTTTCTCCTGCAAACTTTGTTGGACTTAATTTTGCAAAGACTTTGACGGTGTCCTCTCTTGTTGTCAAGGTATGCCGGCACCGAATTTCTTATTTCGATGTCTCTTTATATCGCTTTCAGATGTTTCTCATACAGTGTTGTAGCAATCCTGAATAGAGAAAAGACGTGCCTGATATATCATTTATCAAACATTGCCATCATAATCTTGTGTTCTTGTCAAGTTATGGATGCCTGTATGCAAGCATATCACATTTACTTCATATTTTGCTAGGTACTTTGTCATTTTTTTTCCTACTTATGGATTTCATATTCGTCTCTAGTACTTCTGTCCAAAATTTAGTGATTCCTGGGACCCATTTATATTGGACAACGTGAGTCATCTAGAGTTGGAAATGAGGTACGGTGCCAGTTTTATAGAAGGGATGATCAGCTTGTTGAGGTTCTCGCCAAACATTCAATCTCTTTTCATCAGACTGAAGGAGGTATAAGTTTATTTCACCCAAATGTTCTTAGCGAAAATGTTCTATGAAATGCAATGCCCATTACGACTATTTATGTTTCAGGGTAGAAGTTCGCAGGGCAAGTCAAAGAAAGGTATCATAATCTTTAGGATCAGACTTTACTTGATTCAAGCACTTCCATGATTTGTGTCTCATACTGGCAAGGAGGATACTTAATTTTTTTATTTTTTTTTTTAAATTTCATTTTTTTGTTCTCCCACATTAACTGTATGCCCTTTCTCAAAACTTATTTAGCAGTTGAGAATAGAGGATCTTGGGAATCAAGGGTTGCGGATATAGCTTGCTTGACTTACTGTGTCAAAATCATTCAAGTTTCGAATTTAGATGATTCAGAGATTGCACTTGAGTTGATGAAGTTTTTTCTCCGGAATGGGAAAGCACTTGAAAAAATGCAAATTATGCACAGGAATGGAGAGAGGAGGCGGATGAGTTTCAGCAAGCTCATATCACTTCCTAAAGCCTCCCCAAAAGTTGTTATATCATTCCCAGAGTATGGTGAAAGAATAATTCCCTGGTTTGATAAAGGAGACTCGGATGCAGAACTTGGTGACTGAGCAAAAGGTGTTGTTCTTTCGTGGGACCTACCCCGTGAATTTTACTTTATTTATTTACGTTAGGAAGTCATATGCTTATGTTCTTGCCCTCAATGTTAAATTTCTGGCTCATAACATTCTCCTCGTCAAATGTAAGATGCATCGAGGCTTACTAGTTTCAAAGTAGGGAAATTCTGAATTAGGATTTCACAACAGATCTAAAAATGCTGAATCTAGAAAATGCACGAGTGAGGTTTCCTCTACATTCTGCCTTTATCCTTCAGCTTTAATTCTGGGTTGAACCAAAACTTCCGCATATGTTAGCATTTGCAAACACCAGTTGTACTGAAAACTTATGTATCAATGTAACAGTGTTAGACTCGATATCTGTTTATCTACGGCTCTGTTTATCTGGAGCAAAGACTTTTGCTACCAGAATGACTCCCTTCATCAACTTTCTTCGTTACCTATGTACAGAGCTAAGATTAAAAGTCTCCATATTTTCAGAAGGCTCCATATTTGATTTCTCTTTAATAACATTTAACACTCTCCAGAGTCCCGACAGCAGTTATCTTTCTCAGTCAATGCTTTAATATCCTTTTTTTCTGTTCACATAACCTAAAGCAGATCAAATTCTGTCAACAGCTTGTTTTAATTCAATGCCCCACCACCCCACCCCACCCCCCCACCCCCCCACCCCAAAATATAATTCTTCTCCTCGTGTCATTTCTACCATTAAATCATATGCGTGAAGTTGAACTACGTATAAAACATTTGGTGCAACTATCCTGGCTTGGTAATGATAACTTTAGAAGTTCCATAAATCTAAAACCAATGCCTTTGAACTGCTCATTCATGTGTGTATCTTTTTTCTCACAAAGTTTTGCAGCCTATCAATTCCTAAATTGTGCACCACCACCATTATCTGAAGTATGATGGTGAAGAATGTGGTTTTACATTCTTCAGATTTTTGCACAGTGGCTACCTATTATATATTGCGTCTTCTGACAACTTTCTGGAAGTTTTACTTCTCATCATCAAAATGACAGAGAAGCTAGTTACCTAGATTACTATTGCAGTTTCTTGCTGAAGCTTTTCTTCTCTTTTGTTTAGACTCTAGAGTCCAAATGATAGATCCTTAAGGAATTATGTTTCAATTTTCATATTCGTCCACACTCCCTTCCATCATATGTATCCACTTGGATAGTAAAATTCCTATCTAAAATTGTGGTGCTAAAACATGACTACCTTATTGTAAATCAGGACATGAAATTGCATCTAAAGATGACCATACATTTTTCGGTTATCTTTGTATGAAGGGACTTGTAGAACTTTAGATGTTTTTTTGGAAAGATTTTCCAAGTTCAATTTTGGCTAAATCCTAAATGAGATTTTAGTTTCGTAAGTTCTGCCTTATCTATTTATTCTTCTTTCTGTTAATCATTGTAGCCTGAGAACTTCCCTAATGGAAATAATTTTTTTAACAGATGCTTTTGAATTTATTAGCCTTGTTTCAATGATATTAATGAGTGAATTTTTGGTGCATACAGGCTGTGCTAATTCCAGATTACGGTAACAAACTGTTCCGAAGAGGCTAGAGACAACTATTTTCTGTTATTTCATTTGACAACAGGGATTTATCTCCTTTCTTTGAGAAGACGGTGATGAATTGGTTTATATGGTACATCAGTTTGAAGGTATTATGAACCTTCTAATTCCAACTAGGCATCTTCTCGTTTTGGGGTTTGAGAAGAATTGGAGCAAATTGGAAGACTAATGTTTATGTTTTGGTACTTGAAAATTTCATTTCTAATTATATTTTTTCCCGAATATGCTTCTGATTATAACTCATAAAAATGCCTTTGTTCTGTTTAATTATCCTACCATGCTTTTAACTGAGGTTAAGCGCTACTGTTCGGAGACTTTCTTAAGCCCATCATCCTTGGTTTTGTTTTGTGCCTTGGTTCTGTATTATTAGGATTTTTAACATAGGCATTATTGTGATTAGGAGTAGTTAAATAATTATCATCTGGTGGTGCAGTCTGATGACAAGACCCTTCTGAATAGATACTGTTCTGAGAACCGGACTGGGTTGGCCGATCCGGTGCCTGGTTCACCCCTCAAAACTGCCCGTCAATAACTGGTGTAGTTTTCAGAACCTTGAAAAGATTCAGCCACGTTATACATAATTAAAAGTAATTTATACAATGGAAACTTCAGATTTCTGCTTCTTACACCAAATTTGTATTTCAATGAAGCAAAAATTCTCTTTATGTTATATAAACACCTCGTTTAGAAGTTTACGTCATTACTTCTCGTCATTTGCTTAAGATTTTGGCATTTCATCCCTTTGATCTTTACAAATGCAGTTACGTGCAATTTGTGTATAATGAATGGGATACTTACATTTTAGCACCCGAATGATATTCTTTTTCACAAGAAAATTGAATAACATACATGGATCCAAAAAAATATCATGATGGGAGTTTCGTTAGTATATTTATGTATTATAAGGATATACCATTGAACTCAATTTCTACCAAGCAAAGTCTTTCCATTGCGGTTCTATCATGTGAAAGATATGTGATATTTATGACAAGTCTTATCTTGAGAAAATTGCCATTTGTTCCCCGATCTTTGACCATCATTCTCACTTGTTGCAATGGTATTAAGTTGCGTGCATTTACTTGGCCAGATTCCTAGTTAGCTTGGCCCCACAATCATTTTTTGATTTCATGTAAATCCAGCTTAGTAAGAAATATCAGTGAAATTGATTTCATATATGCATGCATCGAGTGCTAATTCTATTTTTTCTTGTTCAAGAATATTTATGCTTGCTATAATAATAGATATTCGTCAAAGTTGCTCCTGGAGGCAAAACTAAATGAAATATATTCCAAGCAAAGATAGTTGTTACTTCAATTGTGTTGCAAATTCTGGGCTGCTATTTTATCTAGGGCAAACCAATGAACACTTACTCTTCAAATTAGAAATTTCAGCTTTGTCGTGTGCTATTTCGCGTCAAAATAGTTGTGTTTCCATGTGAGACTCCCATGCTAGATGACAAGTTTAAATGCTTTTGTGGAGAGAGTGTTGGGGGTAAACATGGATTTTTCCACCTTGTATAAACGTTGTCAAATCCAGCACTAGAGATTTGTGCATGTGCAATTGATCAACTTAAAATTTTTATGGGTTTAGATTCCTTTGGTTAATATAATTATGTGCTTTATATTTAATTGTTGCCAGGATACTCTGTAGAAGACAACTTTGGAGTTTTCGGGCGTATTGCCTCAATTGGAAAATGAACGCATTATGGTTGGTATATAAAAGATTAACGATGGTAATATTTTCATTCTTGTATACAATGGAATACACTTCATTCTTACAGTTAATTATGTACGGAACAAGTTTTGCCCTTAAAACCAAGTAAATAAAAGAAGAAATTGATCATAATTGCTGTTTCAAATTTTAAACCTCTGGCCCTTATATTTGGTCGCCTTTTATGGAAATAGGGGGATTCTTTTCTGAAATAGTAGTTTATTCACTTTTATAGAGATTGGGTGGTTCTAATTAAGATACTAAATGTAATCTAAAAAAATTCACTCTTATATGATACCTTAACGTGGTGATTACCAATTTGCCAATGTTATATGGTTATTAATATTTTCATTAATGGAATTATACTTAGCCTAACTCTCCACTTCCCCCTCTATTGCAGATTTGAGACGACCCCTATTACTTTCTTCGGATTTTGTGCAAACAGCTTCTAAGATTTATTTTTACAATTTTCCTGGAAGGTCAAACCCACTTTTCTCTTTTTGTCGCGAGGAATTATAAACGACTAAATTCTGTCACACTGCCACCTGGCCACCTCGCCATTTTTAACCTTTCTCTCTGTATTTACATCCTCCCCCGGCCCCGACCCTTGTTTTTATGTGCATGCTGACACTTGTTTCCTATTACTTGTGAGGTCATTCTCAATGGAAGTAGATTAGATTAATTTCATTGAGTTTTATGTTAATTTTATTTTATTTTTTTATTTATTTTTTTTTTAAACATTTCAGCGTTGAGATAAGATTAAACTCATTCAAATGGCCCTTGGTTTATTCATATGAGATCTTAGAGAACTGGAATCACATAACTGTCCAAATTATTCGTGATTATATTAACTTTTTTGAGACAGGCATATTACTTCTATTCGAAAGGAAAACTCATTAGAAGTCAACTTTTGTTGATTTTTTTTACCACTTACCATAAATGACTACTAATCTTTGTTTTGTAACATGTTTCATATGCACAAAAAAAATATTATGTTACCCTACTGTTGCAGGTGGAGATGCATTATCGCACGCATGCTATTTCTGAATGTTCTCCCTTTCCTTCCTTCAGCTACACACATCTGAGTAATTTTATTTAATTGCAACTGTCTAAGAAATATTTGGTCAAAGTTTGGTTTCTCAGGTGCTAATATCAGTGAGAAATTTTTATTTCATTATGGAACTCTCAGAGAATCTATAACTGGTACATTCTCGTTTCATGATATGAAAAAGAGTTTTTCGATTTTCAGATCATAAGCTTAGACGTCAACCTTTATGAACATGATTCCTGATAGTTGTTCTTAGTTTATGTTTAAATGTCAAGTCGGATTGAGAGTTCATATGCGGACCTTATATCTGTCTTTGATTGATCTTGTGCTAAAATCACGGTGGCTTCTCAAGTGTGTAATTCTGAATCATGCATTTGAATTTTGATTATTGTAATGCACGATTTACAGAATTATGTACTGCATTCTAGTCTTGTCTAAAAAAACTGAGAAGAAAGTTCGAATTTCCAGCCAAGAAAATCGGAGAAGTAAATAATGAATCACAATCATCCTATTCTATTCCCAGTTTACTATGTGTTTTTCATTTTTGTCGAAACATTTTGCAGCTGGGCTTGTGAGAGATTGCAGACAAACCAATTTATGTTTCTAATGTCATTTTGCAGCTGCTTTTTTGTTATTATTTTTATATAATTTTTGTTTATCATGTAAGATCTTTTAGTAGCAATTAATAATATTGTTAGCTTTTTAACTTTTTATTTCTTGTGTGTATTTTATTGAACTTATGCATACACTTATGCGGTGTTTGTTGATATGAAGAACCTTATGAGATAATTTATAAATTATAATGTTACTGAAAAATGAAATTTATTTTATTGAATTCTTATGTCAAAGGCAACAAGTAGTTTATCGAACTCGTTTAAAAAAATGAAGTTTATTATTATTAATGCTGAGTCTAATAAAATATACATCACCATAGTTTTATTATTGTTATTATTGTTATTATTGTTGGTTAATATGATTGTTAACATATTCTTTAAAAAAATCATAGTGGCACTCAGGATTTGCATCACGAGCGATGTACATGATTACAAAATGTCAGAAAGTTCTCTTTTTTTTGTGTTACTATTTACCACATGGCATTTTACTATTTATCGCCTCTGAAAATGCGATTTTTCCTTTTCCATTAAAAAACTAATAATAAAAAAATAATTTTTTTATTGAAAAAATGAAAAAACAACATCAAAACAAAAAAAATCTATACATGCCTTATCAAAAATTTTCACAAATTAGCAAAAATATTTCATTGGCCAAAAAAAAAAAAAAAAAAAAAAAAAAAAAAAAAAAATCAAAATAAAATGAACAAAGTTCAAAAAAATCAAAAAAATAATAAAAAAAATAGCGGGACAATCCTCAAGCATCGGGAAAGGACTCTCCAATTCACAAGTATTTTTTTTTTTATTTTACAACTTTAACGAATTTTTTTTTAAAAAAAAATCTGGGCGCTGGCTGGCCGAGGACTGCGGTCGCAGTCGCAGTCGCACCTGCTGGCCGGCGATTGCGGCCCATTTATGTTAGGATGGCCGCTTATTGCGGCCTACTCTCTTTCGGCCGCAATCTTTTGGTGCGACCGGTCCCCATACGGCCGCTATTCGCGGCCGTTTTTTGTGTTGTGAGCCGCGCGCGGCCTCGGGTGGACGACCGATCCTTTCTGTGCCGCGCGGCCCTATTTTTTTTTAATTAAATATGTTTTCAAAAGTAGTTAATAAAGTTAATAATAAATTTATTTTAATATTTTGTAATAGTACTTAAATATGAATATTTAATAATAAAATTTAATAAAGAAAATAAATATTAATATTTAAAATTAAATTTATATACTAATATAATTTTTAATATATATTATTAAAAATTATA